TCACAAAATCAAAATTAAACAAGAAGTATACTCAGAAATGTGACACTGTATGTCCTATCCTTTCCATCCTGTTCCCCATCCCTAACCATTCCATATAGGTAATCAACTTCATTGTTTTGCAAATACTCTGGTGTTTCTTTTTCTAAAGATAGGTAGATTTGTGCATAGTTTCTTCTTTCTTCTTATTTCTCACACAAAATGTAGCATAGTATATACACTTTTAGCACTTTGTTTTAGCATTTAACAACAAAGGTGGTTAATTTTTACTGTTAGTGTGATGAGAAGCAATTCGAGAGTTTTAAGTCTAAAAGTGATGGAATCTAAGCCAGGCGTGGTGGCCCAGACCTGTAATCTCAGCACTTTGGGAGGCCAGGGCAGGAGGATCACCTGAGGTCAGGAGTTCAAGACCAGCCTGGCCAACATGGTGAAACCCTGTCTTTAAAAAAAAAAAAAAAAAAGAAAAGTGATGGAATCTGATTTATGTTTCTGAAAAATCACTTTGTTTCCTGTACTGGGAGCATGAATAGAATCGGGGAGACCATTTGGGAGGTTATTGACATCATTCAGGTTAGAGATGATAAAGGCAAGAGCCAGGGTAAAGTAATACTCTATACAACTTTATTACTCTAATTACTCTGTAATAAAATTATACAGGGTATTATTTGTTCCTGACTTTTTCCTTCCACTTGGCCTTTGTTGTGGCTTCCCTGCTGGGGATGTGTACTTCTCTGATCTACTGACTTATAGTTTGGCCATGTGATTTAGTTTGATCAATAGAATGTGGGCAGAAGTGAAAGTGCTAGTTTTGAGCAAAGCTGTTAGAAGGCCTTGCCTATTTCTACTTGTTCACCTGTGCTCCTATTCTGTAAGACTAGAGAGAAACATGCCCTGACTCTACTCTTGTGATCTGCATCCAAGAATAAGAAACAGATAAGGCATACCTGAACATGACTCACAGTATTGCAGAATCATAGACAACCCATAGACTGGTAGGTCAGAAAAAAATTCATTCCTTAGCCATGGATAGTTCAGAGCTATTTGTTACACATCATTATCACAGCAAAATCTGACTAATACAGGTGGCAGTAGTAGTGAGCTGTGAGTTGACAGATTTAGGATGGATTTTCACAATAAAGTTTATTGACACTTACTGCTACGTTAGATGTAGGGAGTAAGGTAAAGCAAAAAATCAAGGATGAATTGTAGGTTTGGAGATGGATAGTGGTCCCTTTTACTCAGGTAGTGAAAAATAAGGAGGTACAGAATTTGTTGGAAGCTAAAATAAAACACTGGTATTCAATCAGAGGTTATTTGCCGATGAGGGGAGATTTAACAATGTCTGAAAACAATTTTTTTATCATATCTGGGAGGTGCTACTGGCATACAGTGGAGAGAGGCCAGGGATGCTGCTAAGCATCTTACAGCTCACAGGACAGTCCTCCACAACAATAATTACCCAGCCTGAAACATCAATAGTGTCAGGGCTCAGACATTCCAGAATATAGCGCTGTGTTAGATTTGAGGTACCTGTTAAATATCGAAGTGAATATTTTGTAAAAAGAGACTTCTAGAAATTAGAGGAAGATCAAGCAGATAAAAGGTTGTGAGTAATTAATATAAACAGACAATATTTAAAATCATGGAACTGAATGAGACCACCTAAGGGAGGATACAAAGAGAGAAAAGAAGAAGCTTGAGGATTTGTCTCTTGTTCCTCCAATATTTAGAGATTGTAATGAAGAGGAAAACCCAGATAAGGAGATTGAGAACATTTAGTCAATGACGTAGAAGTAGACCAAGAGTCTGATATCCTGAACCCAAGCCAAGAAAGAATTCGAAGGAAGAAATACATATTATGATATATTTATTATTTAACATTGAATTTCTATTATACAATTGGTGATATTTAGTATTATAAACTGTGACAATAAAACCGTGGATTTTACACTTTATACATTTCAATAAGCCTTCAGACACCATAGCTTGTATGGTTCTCACTAACACACTGAATGAAATACGGACAAAATTTGAGGTTACTAAAGATCAAGTAGCCTCTGCTCTGATTTCACATAACAAGTTAGTGACAAACCCAGGCCATAATTCATAATGGGAACAATGTCTGGAGACTGAAACAAATATTCCTGAGAAAATCAACACTTATTGGAGATAACAGATCAAAGTGATTACAAACATGAACTTTACAACAACAACTAAAACAAATATTTATCTAGTACATCCTAAATATCAGCCAAAGTTCTAATAATACAGCAGTGAACAAAACAAAATCACTTTCTTTATGGAAGTTACCTTGCAGAGGCTCTCCACAAGACCTGGGCTTGTAGCCCAGTTCTACTCTGTAACCCTGAGCAATTAACTTCCTGCAAACTTAGTTTTCTTTTCTAACGGTATTGATGATTCCTACCACAGATTTCTGATTGAATATGGCAGAGAAGATACAAGTATTTGCCTCTACACTCTCCTGAGCCTTTATACTAAAATTACACTAAGGGAAGGAAAAGAAATAAACCCACAAAGACAAAAAGATTGAAAGAAAATAACATAATAATGAATTTTGAAACTTAGAAAAATAGATCAAAAAATGTTAGCCAATTTAGTAAATCAGAAAGCACTGAAACCCAAGGTAGCAGTAGGGAAAATCCAGAAGCAGATTGATTCATACTGTAATGTAGTACAGTGGTCAGTACATTTTTTATGTAAAGGTCCAGATAGTAAATATTTTAGGCTTTCCATGCCATAGGGTCTCTGTCACAACTATCCATCTCTGCAGTCGTAGATAATATATGTCTATGGACATGGCTGTGTTCCAGAAAAACTTTATTTATAAAAACAGGCAGAGATTGAAAGGGTAAACTAAATTGTGGTTTGGCAAATCACAGTTTTCCAAACCTCAGTATAACACCTCAGGGATGAAGGTACCAGATACTTCTGAAAGCAGCAGAGCAGAATCTAAAAATAGGATTCAAAGTGTGTGAAAATGGGCAGAGAGAATTCCAGGGCTCCTTTTCCATCCATCACAGACAGCTGACAGACCCCATATCATATCAGGAGTCTTGAGGATTGCTATATGGAAAAGTGAATTCAGGTGATGCTAGATGCAGGCACAGATAAAGGTGAATATGAGATGCCCAGATAAAAACATGGGTATTAACTGAAAAATAATCTCAAGCTCAAGTCCCCAGTCAGCTGGCAGAACCTGCAAGCAGGCTTAGATTCTTTTGACAAAATATTAGTCAAGTCCTCTCTGGAGAAACTTATCAATCCAGAAAAAATACTTAAAGATACTGCGAGTTGATGGCTGTCCAACAAAAAGGCCCAGCCAGAACCTTCTAAGGTAAAGCCTACCAGTTTACATCCATCCTCCACCCAAATATAGTTTCTAGTCTGTTTTGTTATTACTCTTACCTCAAATTACCACCCTCTCTTGAAATATAGGATTCAAAACAAAAACAGAGGAGACAAAATGTTAAAAAGAAAGAAAATCCAGGAAACAGAGAAAACAGCCAAGAAAGTTTCAAAACATAATAATCTCCTCAGAAAAGAAGAGAGTATATTGTATCTATGAAATAGTAATAGGAGGCTGAGAAAAACAAAGAGCCATCAGAGAACAACAACAACAAAAAAAGAAAAGCTCTTATAAATTAAAAATACAATATAAAAAGTGAAGAATTCAAAAGAAGGGTTGGAAAATAAGGTTGAGAAAACCTGTCAGAGACTTGAACAAGAAAATAAGAAAATCAGATGATTGACCAACAAGGGCCTAACTTCCAAATAACAATTGTTCTAATCAAAAAGAACAAAGAAAAATATTCTGTTTTCTAAAACTTAGACGTATTTTATTAAAGCTTCCATTTTCTGGAGAGCAAAGATATAATGTTACAAATTCATAATGCTTTAGATTTATCTTTTGAGGAGAAACCTCCAAACAAGCCAGAAAAGGATCATTCACATTTCATCTCCAGTTTCTTCCAACACATATTCAAATAAGAAAAGCACTAATAAGTTAGTTTCCTCTTTTCCCAGACATACAAAAATGTGTCAATAATTTCAATAAAATTTTCTACTACTTTTACCAAAAGATTTCCTCAAGCTTTGTCATCCCACCTTCATTTGTGCGTGAGCAACCCTAGAATTCAATCTCTCCAGATATAATCCTCCAATCTTCTAGTAGGTGTGAGAGGATGTTTCCCTGGCTGCGGTGGTAGGACATGAATCCAGGATCTTAGCTGCCTCTTTTAAATATTTTCAACCCATCATCCTGTTCAGATCCATTGCTCCACCACTTTTAGGTATATCTCATGCCTTCAATTCCTGCACATTTTTCATGTGCTTTCTGTTTGAATTAGACATTAAACCCTTCAGACATTTGTGCACAAATGACAAATTCCTATAATCAATATCTCTAAAAGTTTTCTCAAAAAAGTCACTAGACACAGTTGCAAAAGGGCTACAGTTATGAATAGACACTTATATTTTAAAAAAGTAATTTGTATGCAGAAAGAGACATTTACTTACAGATATGTGGCAGCCTCAGTTTTACAATTTCATTCAAAAGCAAATACTATAGATCAATGAAAGTCCATTACTATTTACCTTTGAAATTGTCATAACCTTCAGATACTTCCACATACAGTTCAAAGACTCTCCACCACAAACCTTTGTTTTCAGTCTCTGAACTGAAAAACAGGAGGCCAAACAAGTCCACCAGGCTCTCATTCTATACACAGCTCTGGCATCCAGACAAGATCCTTTCGAATCTAGGATTCTCTGTTTTAAAAAATAGTATTTTGCTTATTTGATTTTCAACCAGCAGTCATGATTTATAGAAACAGATCCTTTTAGTTTCAATTTTATAAATGATAAAGACATTTTAACCATGAATAGATACAAAAAAAATAGCATGTATAAGACCTCCTTTTCATAGGACAATGGGTGACTACATTCAATACTAACTTACTTGTACATTTTAAAATAACTAAAGGAGCTTTGCACCGTGGAAGTATGGTAGCCAATGAGGTTTACCTGAGGTGTGATTATTGCTAATTGAAAACTTTTCCCAATACTCCACCATGATGACTTATAACATAGTATTGGCAATTTTTGAGAGTCTCTATGGAGATGGGCACTAAATATTTCAGTAAAAAAGAAAATATATTAAGTAAATAAATAATTGGATTGTTTGCAACACAAAAAATAAATGCTTGAAGGGATGGATACCCCACTCGCCATGATGTGATTATTTCACATTGTTTGCCTGTATCAAAACATCCCATGTTTCCCATAAATACATACAACTTCTATGTACCCATAAAAATTAAACATTAAAAAAGAGACATTTTAACCATGGCAAACATGTCAATGGTCATCTTTGATGAATGAACTCTGAAACTGAACACACTTGCCAACATAATCAGTAGTACCACCATCAGAACATGAAAGTCAAGGAGTCACAAAAGGCTTAAAGTTACAGTTGTTGTGATATTCCTTGATCCAGGGGCTGCTTTTCTGAGTGAGAGTTTTGTTGTTGTTGTTGTTGTTGTTGTTGAAACCAAGACAAATAACATATGTAATTTTATCAGCAATCAGAAAATCAAATATTCAGTGGGCCACAGAAAATGATGTGAATAACTTGTCAACCCCACAGTTGAGAAAGACTATCAGTCCAACTAAACCAAAATCTGGTGGCAAAGACACAGCTGTCCCAAGTTCCCGGAGATAAGAGAATCCTTAAGAAATAAAAACAAATGGTTTCAATCCAAGATGGCCATTTAGGAACAGCTCAGGATTGCAGCTCCCAGTGAAAGTGCAGAGGGTGACTGGACGCTGCATATTTATTGCCCACAGACTAGGAAATTCCCAGGCAGAGGAGCTCCACAGTCACCAGTGCGGCTGTTTCGGCCAGTGCGACTGTGCCGGCCGGCGCCGCTGCTTTGCCCCACGTGGCTGCTTTGTCGGCGCCCCGGAACAGCTGTTCTCAGGTTCTCCGTACAAAATACACCGGTCTGGGTGCCCTTTTGGCTGGCGATTGGAGCCACGGAAAGTCGCCGATTCGTCTGTTTAAAAAGGGGACTGAGCAGAGAACCAGGACAGTAGATTCCAGGGCAAAAAAAAAAAAAAAGCGCCACAAACCTCAGTGCTGCTGTTTAAGCCAGTGCAGTCAGTGGCTGCAGGGGAAAACAAACAGACCCCGGTGCCTCTTCAACAGGCAACTGGAACACCAACTTAGAAAAGGAGCTGAGGCAGTGAGCCAGACGATCAGGCTCGGCAGGTCCCACCCCCACAAAAGAAAAGCAACCAGAAACTCTGGATTGAGACTTTCACAGCAAGCGCAGCTGAACCCAGGACAGTCCAGCTCTGTGGGGGAGGGGCGTCCGCCATTACCGAGGCAGCCCGCCAGGACGGAGGTAGTCTGCCAATGCTAAGGCAGCCCGCCGTTGCTAAGGCAACCCGCCATTGCTGAGGCAGCACACTGTTGCCAAGGCAACCCGCCACAGCAGGAGACTCCGCCTCAACCGAGGCGGGCCACCATCGCCAAAGCAGTTCTAACTACACCCATATAAACAGGACTGCAGGGAAGTTCACTCGGCAGCGGGGCGGAGCCCACAGAAGCTCAGCAAAGCCTCTACAGGCAGACAGTGACTAGGCTGCCTCCTTGCTGGGCAGGGCAGCTCTGAAGGAAAAAAAAAGAAGGCAGTAGCATAAAGGAAACTCATAAAGCCCTAAATCCCTGAGACAGAGCACCTGGGAACAAAAAGCGGTTTATGAGATCTGCTGCAGCAGACCTAAATGTACCTGCCCAGCAGCTCTGAATGAACAACAACAGAGCTCACAGCTCACCATTTGAGCTCCTATAAAGAAGAGACTGTCTCCTCAAACAGCTCCCTGACCCCTATATATCCAAAGAGACACCTCATAAAGGAGAGATCAGATTGACACTAGGCGGGTATCCTTCTGGGACAAAAATAGCAGAAGAAGAAAACTGGTAACAACCCTTACTGTTCAGCAGCTGCTGCAGGTGAACCCCAGGCAAGCAGGGCCTGGAGTGAATCTCAGCAGACCTACAGCAGAGGGGCCAGACTGTCAGAAGGAAAACCAAGAAACAGAAATAACCTCATCGTCAACAAACAGAACGTCAATCTGAAAGATTTGAGAACCAATCCGAAAGCCAGCAACTACAAAGTCGACAGGTGGATAAATCTTTAAAGATGGGAAGAAACCAGCACAAAAAGAATGAAAACACCCAAAACCAGAACACCTCTCCTCCTACAAGGGATCACAACTCCTCACCAGCAAGAGAACAAGGTTAGAGGGAGAACGAGTGTGATGAAATGACAGAATCAGATTCAGAAGGTGGGTAGTACCAAACTTCTGTGAACTTAAAGAATATGTTCTAACCAAATGCAAAGAAACTAAGAACCTTGAAAAAAGATTTGACGAAATGCTAACGAGAATGGACAAAATAGAAAGGAATATAAGTGATGATGGAGCTGAAAAACGCAACACGAGAACTTCGCGAAGCATGCACAAGTACCAACAGCCGAATTGACCAAGTAGAAGAAAGGATATCAGAGGTCAAAGATCAACTCAATGAAATAAAACGGGCAGGCAAGACTGGAGAAAAAAGGGTAAAAAGGAATGAACAAAGTCCCCAAGAAATGTGGGACTATGTGAAAAGACCTAATCTACGTTTGATAGGCGTACCTGAATGCGACGAAGAGAATGAATCCAAGCTGAAAAATACTCTTCAGGATATTATACAGGAAAACTTCCCCAACCTAGCAAGGCAGGCAAACATTCAAGCCCAGGAAATACAGAGAACACCACAAAGATATTTGTCAAGGAGAGCAACCCCAAGGCACATAATTGTCAGATTCACCAGGGTTGAAATGAAGGAGAAAATACTAAGGGCAGCCAGAGAGAAAGGTCGGGTTACCCATAAAGGGAAGCCCATCAGACTCACAGCAGATCTCTCAGCAGAAACCCTACAAGCCAGAAGAGAGTGGGGGCCAATATTCAACATCCTTAAAGAAAAGAACTTTCAACCCAGAATCTCCTCTCCAGCAAAACTAAGCTTCATAAGTGAAGGAAAAATAAAATCCTTTGGGAACATGCAAGTACTCAGAGATTTCATCACCACCAGACCAGCTCTACAAGAGCTCCTGAAAGAGGCTCTACACATATAAAGGAACAACAAGTACGAGCTCAACTAAAGAGCAAAACACCCAGCTAGCACCAAAATGGCAATATCAAATTCACACATAACAATATTAACCCTATATGTAAATGGACTAAATGCCCCAATCAAAAGACACAGACTGGCAAATTGGATAAAAAGACAAACCCATCAGTGTGCTGTATCCAGGAAACCCATCTCACATGCAAGGATACACAAAGGCTCAAAATAAAGGGATGGAGGAAGATTTACCAAGCAAATGGAGAGCAAAAAAAAAGCAGGAGCTGCAATTTTCATCTCTGATAAATTAGACTTTAAAGCAACAAAGATCATAAGAGACAAACAGGGACATTACATAATGGTAAAAGGATCAATGCAACAAGAAGACCTAATGATCCTAAATATATACGCACCCAATACAGGAGCACCGACATACATAAGGCAAGTTCTTAATGACTTACAAAGAGACTTAGACTCCCATACAATAATAGTGGGAGACTTTAACACCCCGTTGTCAACATTAGACAGATCAACCAGACAGAAAATTAACACAGATATCCAGGACTTGAACTCCGACCTGGACCAAGCAAACCTAATAGACATTTACAGAACTCTCCACCCCAAATCCACAGAATATACATTCTTCTCAGCACCACATCACACCTACTCTAAAATTGACCACATAATTGGGAGTAAATCACTCCTCAGCAAATGCAAAAGAATAGAAATCGTAACAAACAGTCTCTCAGACGACTGTGCAATCAAGTTAGAACACAGAATTCGAAAACTAACCCAGAATCACACAGCTGCATGGAAACTGAACAACTTGCTCTTGAATGTTGACTGGATAAACAATGAAATGAAGGCAGAAATAAAGATGTTCTTCGAAACCAACGAGAATGAAGACACAACATACCAGATTCTCTGGGACACATTTAAAGCAGTCTCTAGAGGAAAATATATGGCAAGAAGTGCCCACAAGAGAAGCAAGGAGAGATCAAAAATTGACACCCTATCGTCAAAACTGAAAGAGCTAGAGGAGCAAGATCAAAAAACCTCAAAGTCTAGCAGAAGATAAGAAATAGCTAAGATCAGAGCAGAACTGAAGGAGATAGAGACACAAAAACCCTTCAAAAAATCAATAATTCCAGGAGCTGGTTTTTTGAAAAGATCAACAAAATAGACAGACCACTAGCCAGATTAATAAAAAAGAAAAGAGAGAATAACCAATTTGATGCAATAAAAATCGATAAAGAGGATATCACCACAGATTCCACAGAAATTCAAACCATCATCAGAGATTATTACAAACAACTCTATGCACACAAACTAATACACCTGGAAGAAATGGATAAATTCCTGGACACTTGCCTCCTCCCAAGCCTAAACCAGGAAGAAGCCGAAGCCCTGAACAGACCCATAACAAGGTCTGAAGTCGAGGCAGCAATTAAGAGCCTACCACCCAAAAAAAGCCCAGGTCCAGATGAGTTCACAGCTGAATTCTACCAGACATACAAAAAGAAGCTGGTACCATTCCTTCTGAAACTATTCCAAACAATACAAAAACAGCGAATTCTTCCCAAATCATTTTATGAGACCAACATCATCCTGATTCAAAAACCAGGCAGAGACTGAACAAGAAAAATAAACTTCAGGCCAATATCCATGATGAACATAGATGCAAAAATCGTCAATAAAATACTGACAAGCCAATTGCAACAGCACATCAAAAAGCTTATCCACCATGATCAAGTAGGCTTCATCCCGGGGATGCAAGGCTGGTTCAACATACGCAAGTCTATAAA